AAATAAAATTTTTTCATTAATTATGTAAATTATTATTTTAAATTTTTAGGAAAAATTAAGAGCATATGGGAAAGAAAGTTGTTATTTGAAATCTTTGATCTGATCCCCAAGAGCAGTTTTAATAGCCTTAGATATAGAAGCTGTGAGGCTTCTAACCTTCTAAGCTATCTCCTTATTTCTTTCTTTCTCTTTATAAAGAATACAAGAGATGAACCTATTGGACCACAAGATCTCTCTTTCTCTCACATTCTCTCTCTCTTTCTTGCTTTCTTTCTGGTAATAAAGAATAGAAAAGATGAACATATTGGACTGAACAAAAAAATAAAAAGCAAATTGACGATATTTCTATGTTCGAAGAGTATTTGGAGCTTCTGCAGGAATCGTTTGAAGATCACTTAGAGAACATTGACACCCAACAGCCTGAAAGCCTTTTTTTTGAGAGAGGGAGAGCAACAAATGACTCCTGTGATCAAAATAGGGTTTGAGATGAAATGAAAATTAGTAAAGGTTGAAGTTTGAAGGTTCAAACGAGACAGAGTGTTGATGTTGAGGTTGTTTTCTCGCTTCTTCTTTTTTATCTTTTTTTTTCCTGTAAAAACTGATCTAGCAAGACATTCGCTATAAAAGGGAAAAAAAGAAATTTTCAGGAAAAGAAGGTTATGCGAAGGAAAAGCAGTTTTGTGTGTACATTTCTTCGATTCGACAAAATAAAGAATAAAGTTTTCTGAAGAAAAAAAAATTGTTTCAAATTTTGGGAGAGCTAGAGGAAGAGAGCCTGTCACTTGCCTATTACTGGGTTTGAGGAACTGCGTCCGTTTCTCTTTTATGAAAATTATAAAAAACGGTTCTAAGAGCTGCTGAGTCACATCTTCCGGGATTCTCAGAATTTCTCTTTGTCTTCAGCAATAGTACAGAAGTGAGAGTGAAATGACTGAGAGAAGAAGAGAGTAAGAAGTTTGAAGGTTTCCTCTGCATGCAAATGACATGTTCAATTCGAAAAAAAAATTCAGCCAAAAAAAAAACAAAAATCCTCAGAGTATTCATCGAAACACTTCTAAATCTCAAAAGTCGAGCAAAGATTTGTTGAAAAGAAATTAAAATGATAGTTGTGATTGGTAAGCACGCAATACGTGACGGGAAACTAAAAATCTTGTTGTCTTGTGCACTTGTCAGTGAAAACTTTTTCGAACAAAAAATTAAAATGAAAGTTTGGAAGTTCGAACGGAAAATATTTCGAGAGGAAAGAGAGGTGTGTTTAGAAGGGGGTTAAAATGGTTTGGAAGAGGAAGGAAGGAAGGTGACATAAGGTTGAAGAGTGAAATAAGTATGCAAAGGAATGTATTCACTGAAAATGGAAGAAAACTGATGAGATAGAGAGAGAGAGAGACAGAGTGGAGAGAAAGAGAGAGGGGGTGTGTAGCTAGAAGAAAGGTAAAGAAGAGTGGGAGCAGCATTTTGATATTGATAATCAGTTGATGTTATTGTTATGCTTATTAGATGTGTGGATGTAAGTAGGAAGATATGTTCCAATGGAGTGGCTCTGTGTTGCCAGCATTCGGAAAATCAGTAAAAATTTTTCTTTTCTCTTTCTGCAAAAGAAAGTTGTTGAACTTTAAGGAGAATGAAGGAAATGAACTGCAAACAATTCAAAAAATATTTTCTTTTCTCTTCTTCCAACAACATTCTGAAATTAAAATGAGAATCTAAAAGAGTTGTGGTGAGGTCTGACCGAAAGTGGGCGATGAATGCAATCCGTCGAGAAGATTTTTCAATTCGTTTCGGATGAATAATTTGTATTTTTTTTCTAAATTTTCATTCATACCAGATAGCAGAAAGAGAGAGGGAGAGAGAGAGAGAACTAACAGAAAAAAAAGGTTTTTATTCATATAACAATGTATTTTGATAGAATGGTGTGGCAAGATCAAGAGGAAAGATACAATGCTCCTCCTTTTTTTGTCCACCGAACGGATGGATTCAGAAGATAAAAAATTACCGAAAAAAAACAAATATCGTAAATCAGTGAAAGTTTTGGAAAGTTAAAAATAGTCGATGATCGATGAATCTGACTCTGGAGACGAAGATTGAAGAAGATGAAGAAGAAGAAGGCGAACAAGACGAATTGTAAATGAAAATAAGAATGTTCACGAATATTCGGAAACATAAAGCTTAGTTGTCAAGTTTTGAGCAGAAAAGCTTTGAAGGCGAAAGAAAAAAAAACGATGAATGAAAGAGTTAGAATGTGAATATACGGAAAGAGGGGAGGAGCAAAGGATGGACGATCTGAAGAAGAAACGAGCAGATTCGCAAAGGAAGACGGATTATAAATGGAAATGCACAGAATAGAAAGAATAGGAAAGGAGAATAATACGAAAAAATGGTGTTAAGAGCTAATTATTGTTTGATAATCATTCGTTCAAACTATACGAATGACTTTCCTGGAAACTATTTGAGAAAAGAAAAAAAATGTAATAACTCGATGAACATATATAGAGAGAAGGAATGAGATAGAGAGAGAGATTGAGCAAAAGGAGAGAACGAGATATAGGTGGAGTTAAACAGAGAGAGAGAGAGAAGGTGAGAGTCTCTCTTTCTATAAAATACAAAGTAACGAATAAATGTTCTTTTGATGAACAGGAAAAAAAACTTGGTAAAACATGGTTTTTGACACAACCAAGTGACGCTTTTATTAGAAAGACAAACACCGACTGAAACATACAGGAACGACAAGTTGCTTAAAAGATCAAAAGCTTCGTTTCTTTGAATTTCGTCTTCTTACATCCAGTAACTAGCATCTCTCTTTGCGGCTCACTTACTGCTTCTCTCTTTATACTACCTTTCTCTGTCTTCATCTCTCTCACACTCTCTCTATTCTTCGAAGTTTTTTTCTTTTTATTCTTTTTGTAAACTTTCGCCACATTTTCACACAAGAATATCATAAAAATCCTCTTTTACATGTATTAATTCGCTCGAAAATTAAATTAAATTTTAAAAAACTTCCTCAAAAGCAATAAGAAGAAGCATTTCGTAGGATTAGATTGAGAATCAAATTGAAATATTTCGTGAAAAAAAAGAAGGAGAGCGAAGAGAAGCATATGTGAAACAGCGTGCTATGCATGAGAAATAGAAAGAATGGAAGCAACCGTTCAACACGACTAAATCTGGAACATTAAATTGAATTCACGTGGTGGAGGAGAGTCACGTCAAGTGAAATGAATGTTACGTAATGTATGCCGAAAGCACGTACCGACATCACGTGAAGTTAGAATAAGGAACTATGATTATATGAAATAGCTACTTGCATACAACATACACAGAGAGAAATACTCCCTCTTTCTCTCTCTGTGTTGATGATAAATGTGTTATTCTGTCTTACTGTGTGTTTCTTTTTCTCTCCCTCACTCTTTCTATTTCGCTCAAATGAAAGAACTTTTCATTTTTTTTGATAAAATAAAAAGATTAGAAAGTTGAGGTTGATGGAAAGAACCTGTTTGGCATGTTGATTTCTCAAACTGTTCATCTCTTATCATAAATCTTGTAAAAACAATATAAAATTAAAAATAATTCTTTGTTTAAAGTATTAAATTAAAAAATACTTTTAAAATGGCATTTCATGTAACTTCTGCTGCTGCTTCTATATGATTGTTCAGCTGTTTTAAATGAAAAAAAGACACTTTTTTTTCAACTTTCTAGATTGTGTCATTGGATTGACAAATAAATGCTTCAGAATTCCTCTACTCCTTTATTTGGAACAAATAAACTGTTCTGTCTGAATGACAAGAAATTCCAAACTGTACTGTCTTGACAAACAAAATAAAGATTTCATGCTAATTTCTTTTTTATTTTTTACTTTATTTCCTTTTTTACACGTGCTTTACCACTGATTCTATTTGACATCAATAGTGACAGACTTGAACGACAGCTCAATCTCAGCTTCACTCCAATCTATCTCTCTCTCTCTCTCTCTTTGCTTGTCTCTCTCTCTTACATTTCCTTTTAATTTGTAAGCAGTTAGCCTTTTGTATTTTTCCAAATTAACCTCCGAATTCTCTCAAATTCTCAATTTAGCTTTGCTTTTTTCCATTCACCAATCCACTGCAAATGCATTGCAGCTACAGCCGAAACTCATTAAAATATCTTTTTTTATTCGAAAATAAAACAAATAATCTTCTAGAATAAGGAATAAGAAACTGAATGTCTTGACCATTAAAGGACTGAGATCTGGATTGTCCATCTGAATATTTGTTTTCTCAACGCTACGAAGTTGAGAAAAAAAACTTTTTTTTTTTCACCAGGTCCGAAAGTGAAGTTTTTGAGGTGAAATAACAGAAAAAGAAGAGGAAGAGAAAAATGAAGGCAAGAAGCGTAAGAAATGCCTTTTCTGTTTCCTCTTTTTGAGTAAAATGAACCAGGAATTCATAATAAATGGGAACATGTGAGCGATTTCTAAGTGATGTCTTATCAGAATGAGGATTGTATTATCAACATGCGAACTGACAGCTCAGAGAATACATGGCTTTTTTCATTTTCTATCTTATCATTTCTCATTCAATTTATACGATTTCCGTATATATCTGTAATGAATAGAGAAGGATGTAATTTTTGTATTTTATTAATAAAATAATTAATTAAATTTGTATTTCATAATTGAATTGTGTGAATGAAGGATGGAGAGAGGCATACCGGAGGATATCTTTTGCATCTCAGTCATATATGGTTAGAAGACAATAAGAATTATATTCTCTTTCTCTCTCTATCTTTTTTCTGTATTTCCAAATAAAGAGAGAGACAATACATATTTGGACGATGAACTATTAAAATGCAAGAGGGGACAGATCACAACAGTCATACCATAGTGTATCGTTATTAGAGAGACACAGACGAATAGAGAACATAAACAGTGAGTGTGTATAGATAATAGAGTACACAGAGAAATGTCCAGGGATAGAGAGCAGCAGTGCGAGCGGTTTATCGCAGCTGGTTGGTTGTCTTCGTCTTCTGCTATGGCCTGTCAAACGGGCATCAGACGTAAGTTGTAGTAAATTTTATATTTTAATGTAGTAATTAATGATATTCGCTTCATATGTACGTGTATCAATGCTCCCTGTTCCAAATATGATCACTTTTCATTAAAATAATGTAGAAAGATTGTAGTGTAAGGCCAAATATAATGAGCGTTAGTTAGGCCGACTTGAGTGCTAAAAATCGATGTTGTCCGGTTTTTTTCGAGGACAGACTGGAGCTTTGTCATTTTTGAGGGATAACTGAGCATTAGGTGTATTCTAATAATCGAAATTTGTTTAAAATACTTGGAAATAATCAAATTTTGAAGATGAAACAGCAAAAATCGATATTTCGCTTCCATTGCGAACACTTGTTGGTTCAGCTTTTTCTTCATTTTCCTTTTGACGTCCTTTCCAACATTATTTTTGTTTTAAATTTTTGGAAAAATCATCGCATATAGTGCGGCGATGTGTATGTGTATGTATAGGGTTCGTTCGATATTTTATGCCATTGTTGCGTCCTGTGAATCGATTCTTCTTCCCCTCTCTCGACAACCACCAATCTCCCTCTTGCTTTCCCTCCGTCCCTCTTTCAGTTCAAGTTAAACGTCAAAGAATGACGTTTCGATGAGGCTGAATGACAGGCTGTAATTATAAATCCAATGGCGATTTACACTACAAAAATTCATCGGAAACTTTTTGATAATGACGGTCTTGTAAAAGGAAGGTGTGAGAGAGTTTGGGGGGCGCAACCTGAAGGATTAGTGAGTACTGGATGTTTAATGGAAGAGAATTTTGGGTCATTATTCAAAAGTTGATCTTCTAAGCTTTAATACACCTTCTTGCGTAGTTTATCTACTTTCACAACGACCTCTGACCAGATGCTGCAGCTGTTAAACTCTCGTGTTTCCCTCGCTCTCCGTTTCTGAAGGAGGACTAGAAGAGACATCATATGACTATCTATTTGTATCAACTCTTTTTCGTTCTTTGAGTCCTCATTCATCTTTCATCAGCACCTGTAGAATTTTCATAATCAGTTGACTGATTTCGAGCTTACAATCCAGTCTATATCCATCTCAAATTTCAAGAGATTTTAGAAGAAGATCTGGAAAATCGGCGTGTTTCGCAATTTTTCTTCTATAAACAGAGCAGAGGGAAGGTGGGAGGAGAGACAAGGATAACGAAAAAGAGGCACGAAGATGTCATTTTGGTCAACAATGACAAAAATACAAAGATTCTACGGAAAAAAAGAAAAAAAGTATCAAAGTTCATTGATGCTCCTGCCTTCTAAAGGTAGATAGAGGTAGTTGGTGTAGGCAGAATGAAAGAGGTAGAAATAGAAGAGGCCTTGAATTCTTTGGTAAATTTTGAAAAGTTAATGGAACTGTTTGCACGTCCGATAATCGCTGCGTAGATTTCTGAATTAAATGAAATTATCTGAATTTACTTTGTTAAATAGGCTTATTTACAAGTTTTTTTTCAGCCAACGATGCACTCCGAAATGCTTTCAACTTAGGAAAACAAGCAAAACTTCGTCTTATAAAAGTCGTTGTCAAAAACGGTAAAATATTCTTGGTCAATGAATCATTCATAGTTTCCTTTTACAGAGGAATTAACTTCCAACTATGAGTATGCGGGAACATCGAACTGGAAAGATGATTGGAGAGCAACGCTCCCGGAATGCGTAGATGCTTTCGAACCATGCTTCATTCTCTTCCGTTTGAACACAATCACAGAATGGATTCTCATCACGTTAGTAACAATCCTCTCATTTTCTTCTTCAATTGTGTTTTCCTACGTTTAGGTTTGCTGACGATCGAGCTCCTGTGAAGGAAAAAATGCTTTTAGCAGCCACTTGTGCAACTTTTAAGAACGAGTTTGGACAATGTTATATTGAACATGAAAAACATGCTACTGATCGTAAAGTAAAAACTCAGTCTAATTTTTTTCTTTTAACCTCTATTAAAGGATTTGAGTTTGGAATCCTTTGAATCGTGGTTGAAGTCAAAGAACGAATTGGGCCCTATGAGTGAAGTTGAACGAGGCAAGACCTAGAAACAAAAATATTTTGTGAGAAAAATGTTTTAGAGTTACATAATGCTGCTCAAGAAAGAGCCGCAATCGCTCATTCTGCTCCAACTCAAATGAAAGGAGTAAAGTTTCCATTAGATAGAAATGCAGAAGATGCCGTAAGGCAATTGAGTAGAAACGAACTAAACTTTGTCCAGTTTTCGGTGAGTTCACAGATAATCCTTTTATTCGCAATCATCGTTATTTCGTTACATGCTCATTCATTGTGTGATTTGTAGGTCGATACTTTGAACGAAGCCATCAAACTGGAGAGTACTGAAAAGAACTTGAACGCTTCAGAGTTGGCCAAGCGTATTTCTCGTGAGAAACCTAGGTACACGTTCTATCGTTTTGATCATCAATTCGATGATAAGCCCCAAAGTAGCATATGTGAGTTATCATTTTTCCGTTTCTTCGACCTGATTGTATTTTTCAGTATTTATTTACTCTCTACCATCTTCGGGAAGCAGCATCAAAGAACGTATGCTCTACTCATGTTGCAAGCAACCTTTCCTGAACACCGTTACTAACCATCTTGGTGTAACAATCAACAAAAAGGTTTCATTTTCAATTTCATGATTATCACAACAAGCATTGATTCAGACCGAAGTTGACGCCAAGGATGATCTTAGTGAAGCAGCTTTGATGGATATGCTTCACCCCCCTCAATCCGAGCCTCCGAAACAGTTCAACCGTCCCGCTCCCCCTCGTGGTTCAGGACCTCGTCGCATTACCAAAGTTTAAGCTGAACATTCTCGGATGCACTTTGTTTCCGTGACTGTTCTCTGTAAACTCTCAAAATGTCAAGGCTTCTCGTCATTATTATATTGTAAAAACAAAACTTCGGCTTATTAACGCGCACTTTTCTGATATACTAGAGCGTCATGGACCGCATATTTGGTCGTTTTGTGATCTTTTAATTGCAACAATACAAGGATATAGGCAATGTCTTTGGTTTTATAAGTTATGAAATTACTTAATTTTTATTTTGCATATTGTTTTGTGTTTCTAGTTTTGGACTGTTGCTTGTACATCACATGTATTTAGTCTGAAAATTATTTAAACAACTGAGTTCTTCATTACAGGCAATTCATCAATAAACAGCTCATGCTTTTCTCATTTGTTTTATTGTTTGATTCTTCAAAAGAGGTTGAGTATTCCGATTTTCCTTCATGGGAACCTAATATTATCTGAATTAACCTCATGACGAGAGCTGTAATACAATGAAAAATATTCTAAAAAGGTTTTCGCCTCTTTCATATCGTTGTGAACAGGTTTTGCTTGTTTGCTTTTTGATGAGTCATGACTCAT